CTGTGGCGTTTAGTACAGCTCTTCATACTGTACTAAACGTACTGTGGCGTTTAGTACAGCTTTTCGTACTCTACTAAGAATACTGTGGCGTTTAGTACAGCTCTTCGTACTATACTAAAATTTTTGTAAGTACGGCTCTTCAGTACTCTACTAAACATTTTTTCGAGTATAGTACGGCTTTTCATACTCTACTCATACTCACATTTTAGTATGGCTCTTCATACTCTACTCAACGTACTCTTGCGGTTTAGTACGGCTTTTCATACTCTACTAAACATACTCTTTGAGTTNCTCTACTAAACATACTATACTATACTAAACATTCCCGTGGTAGTTACCCAACGGACGTCGGGCGAATTGTCAATCGTAGGCTGGGAGGACGTGACAAGCAAAGAAAGAGAGGCCACATAATGCGTACATGATGCTTCGTGTGATGGCATGTGGGTGAGAGTTTGTGCTTGCAGGCTCGACTTCCCACGACCCCCCTAGTAATGACGAGTCTGGATATTTGGATCCATGCATCAACGGATCCACCTGCGAGTTCGGGCCTTTTTTTTTGTTACCGACGGAAGGACAGATCGACAGTACAGCCGACCAAGAGGCACCATCGACGAAAAAAAAAATCCAAAACGGTTGTTCATCTCACGGGGTTGATTGATCCTACGCACACGTCACGACCACGCAATAAAAAGGGGGCACAAAGAAGCTCTCGACGTACGAATATGGTCGAAAGGTAGCGCTGTGCGAGGCCCGGGTGTCCTCTTGTTGCAGTAGGTAGAAAGCGATGGCCGCCCGTTTTTGCGCGACGACGTGTGCACGAGATATCTCACGTACGTGTTGATACGGCTGTTGGTGTGCACGTACAACCCGTACTCTTGCTCGACGACGGGCGGCGAACACACTCATTCGTCTTCTACAACGACTGGCTCTGCTGCCGATAGCGGGTCAAGGGCACATGAGCGAGCGCTGCTAGGGATCATCGGGTCTCTGGATCCTGACAAACATGACTACCGCAACGACGGCGGCGCGGTATCAACAGGTGGGGCGTGATTTTCGTCGGGCAGCTGTCTCGCTTGCTGTTTGCATTGCTGTAGTCTAGCCTCCGTAGGCAGAGGAGAGGATCGTGCGCAAGTATATGTACCGATTAAGTCTGACAACTTTGCGAGGACAGGCTGGTGCTGTAGATTCGTCAACTGCCACACCATGCTAGTGGTCGCCCCGGTGGTCTAGTCGGTATCCTCGAAACGTTCTAGAGGTCAGGTCAGGGGTTCGAACCCCGGCGTAAAAGCGAGCCTTTCTTGCAAAGTGAGTTTTTCTCTCGCTTCCGCTCCTGGCCCAGTGGATAGCGCTAGTTAGTGTGTACACAGAGGGAAGAGAGTGCTGAATTCTTCTCGCAATAAAAATCGAAGGCAAATACATCACCGCAGGAGGGGAGAGTAGACAGGGGCTCTTCTGTGTGACCACGGGTTGGAGTAAACGCCACCAGTCAGTGCTGGTGTGAGCGCTGATTTGAAGTGAAGATAAGAAAAATACAACACCACCCCATGGGCGTGAGAACACCTTGCCCGAGAGCTGCCTGAGAGTGACCCAAGAGGCGGATGGGGTCTCAGCCACTGACTGCTGCTGTTATTCCTTCGACGATCATTTCATGTTCGTCGCGCACCAAATGTTACGTGTTCGTCCTATCCATGATTCCAGGCGTCAGCGTACTCCTTTCGTCATATACTTGATTTTAATACAGAGACGTACTCCAGTATGAAATACATGTTGACACCCTCGCCACCTTGTTCCAGTCTTCGCCAGATCTTCACATTATGAAGTGCGATGGCTAGCAGTTCACTGTGGTTTGATTTCCGGAGGGAGGAAGCACTGGTTTTCTTCTCCCCCTGCCCCCCCCCCCCCCTCCGGTGTTTACCATCGGGGTTGGGTTTTCGTCGCTTGGCAACGACGTTGTAAAACAAGCCGCCCCTCCCGGTGTTTGCCATCGGGGTTGGGTTTTCGTCGCTTGGCAACGACGTTGTAAAACAAGCC